TATCCATCCAATTAATATTGCCTCAGTGATTTCGCATAAATATTTAAAATCGGCTAAATCATTATCATCCGCTATGCGATTCGATCAGCGATAATGCTCTCAAGTGGATCTATATTGGCAGAGATGACACAGTTTAGAGATTATTATATTTTTGTTCCAGATAGCCGGATATTAGGAAATGGATTTTCTGAATCCCATGCAAGTATATATATACATATGTTTTAAGCTAATTTATAACCATCGCAAATCACAATATGCATTTTCATCAAAGATTTTAGTTGAAGCAGACTTATTTCATTTTCCCTGATGCTTGATTAGACAAATGATTGTAGTTCATCAATTAAATTGATTTTCTAAAAAACGACCATAAGGCAGCTACCGATTTTATTGAGCATCATATGATCAATATAATCGCCGATAAACGCCATTATTAACACAATGGGAGGTGAAATATTTTACAACGAACCTGTATCATATTACTAATACAATTCATACAAAAGGTATAAGTACATTAAGGACCGGTCGAAAAGTCATTTAGATGATTTTAAATAATATCAGTTACGCAATTATGAGATCGGATAAAATATTGACTCAAGGACCTTTATCTAAACGAATTATTGGTTAAATTTGGCGTAACATTATAAAATGGCAATAACATGATGGATAAGTTCAGAGAGAGGCATGTAAAATTTTTGTCTTCCTTGTTCATTAGAAATAATTAAGCTATTTGCTTTTCATAACAACATCAGTAGAAAGTGACGAAGTGTTGTAAGTGCAAACTGTCAATATTACAGCTAAGCTGCTTCGACAAGTCGACAAAATGTAATGGTTTCTGAATGAAATCTAAAGGCTTCTAACGATGGAAATCATTGATCATTGAATGAATATTCATGAACTACGATAATATCCAATTTCATCTATCAAAGACATTCATAATAATCTTAATTCTATCTATCTAACCAATATCTATGACTTCCCAAATATTTGAGCAACGAAAAAAACTTTCATTATAGATAATCAAAAATGTAACCCAAAAGAATAATTCCCTTCCAGCAATAAACATAGAAATCTTGCATGCATATATAATGAAAAATCACTAACCAATTGTTGACTTGAAGAATTGTCAAACCAGTTTCATGTGCCAACTGCTTTTTTTGATCTTCTGATGGATAGGGATGCTGAAAACGATTGCAAATATCATCATATCATACTTAAATTGTCAAATTTGAAAAATTAATGTTCGTTAACCACAATGCACAATTATTATTCTAGTCTAGAATAATCTAAGGTGTTGAACAAAGAATTAACTAAGGCGTTGAACAAAGGATAATTTACAATAAAAAACTGATTTCTGCTTTTTTGCCATTATTCACCAATGAAATAATGACCATTATTAGAACTATTAATAGAAACTATTGATAGAATCAGCCAAAGAAAAAATTGACAGAGAGGACGAGTATAACAACGTGTGAGAAAGACAGTGTTAATCATTTAGTCAATGGATCTAAATAATTCAATCAAAGTTATCCTATCATGAGGAAGTCACTTGATTAAGGACGCTTTTCGATAAAATCATTAATTTTTCGGTTAAGTTGTCATTGTTGACAGTATTTATCATTATAAATGATGATCCATTTTCAAGTGATCATTTGCTGGTTCCTTTGGTTGGCATGATGATCAATGATAATAGTTTAGAACATTATGAGGAAGACGAATCGTCTGTCATCGATCGATTGACCAACATTCTTGATTGACAATAAAATAATTAGCTTTCACATATCAATATATATATGTCAAGTAGAATTTAATATGATTAAAGTGGAACAGCAAAAGTCAAAGGAAGTGAATGATCGGCATTAATCAATGGAATGAATTAAAGCCGTGTCAAACAAACTTTATATTGATGGACATATTCATCTGCAGCTGTTATTTGAACAAGTCTCCAGAAAAAATAAATATATGATAAAACAAGCAAATAAAAAAGAACAAGAATTAAACCAGAATTAAATCAAATTATTATATTTATAAACTGAAGTAAGAAATAATCGAATACTGTAGTGCCAAAATTTTTTTTTATAACATAAACTAATGAGATAAGTCGCGACAGTGGTACAATAGATAACACCTTACAAAAACCATACAAATAGACATATCGCTTTGATTGCAAATGCGTGAAATTGAATGCTATACTGTATAAAATAAATTCAAATTCACAATACTCATTTTTGAATACTTATGAAAAATAAGGACTATTTTATTCGCTATGAATTTCTTTGCCAAATACCAAACTTGCTACGATTTCGGAACATTTGTTTGGACACAGTAAATACTATTTCTAAGGATAATTTTTTTATCAACTTGCAAAATGATTTTAAACGTAATAACGTAATTAATAAATGTTGTAATTATCTATCTTGATTAATATAAATCGCAAGTATAATTTCATAGAAAATATCATATTATTATGTATCGTCCAAGCTATTTTTCAGCAAAGCTGGCGTAAGAAAATTTACGACTCAATAAATGCATATACTATATTTGACTAAACTATATGCCTACTAAACAGTATATAGTCACGCTATAGGAGGCTAATGGCAATTGAACAACCGGAATTATGTAGTAAGTCACAAGAATTTTCATTTAACTAAAGAGTATGGAATAGCATGAAATTGCAGTGCTTAAGGAACCAATTTTTACATATTACAATAATTAAATCCGAAATATTCTAACTCATAGTATTAAATTATAATTGGCATTACCTTAGAATCGCTGTTGTTGTTTAAATGAGATACAATTGTTTCCGCTTAATTCTCTATTCTTCTCAATTCTATGTCTAATTCTGTGAAAAAATCAATTCCATGAAATAATAGCAAAGATTAATTTAAAAAATCAAAGTTTTGTAATATCTTCACAAGAAAAAAATCGGTTCAAACAAAAATATAATGCATTAAATGTTGCTTCAATTCAACTTTGATTAGATTTTAAGATTATCTGCAATAAAGGTGACCATCAATCAGAAAGAGCTTTTGTGACGGTTAAGTGAAGCATGAATAACCCATTTGGCAGGAATGCTGACAGCATATATATACATCAAATTAATCATGGAAGGCATCTCACAATTAATCGTTTGATTATATAAATTGCACGACTTTTATATTTACATAGAGCGATAATTTCCAACCAATTTTCAATATTGAATAAGTTCGGTTTAATTTTGCAAAAATTACCCAGTCATTTTTTAGTATGTTATTATTATTTTATTGCTAAAATTTGCTATAAATTTTTCTCTGTAACTGGCTTGAAAATATTGAAAATACAACGTTTGGTTTTGGTTGCATTATTGGGTAATTTTGTTCTAAAGCGGAATCATCGAAAATAAGTGTGGCTATTCTATATTTGTATTTATAAAATAATTAAATTTTTGCAACTATTTTTTAAGTGAGTAAACTTAGCTTTTTTAAGCTATAGGCTATATTTTCCATTAAACAACGATTTACGATGCAAGTTTTCACGATTGTTGCGTTGATGGGATTATGGCCCATCGAATATACAAATAAATGCCTTCGATTGAGATGAATAACACTAAACAAATAATTTATGACCCTACGCCATATATCGCTTTTTACATTTTAAGATTCTACTATCGTTTCATTAAAAATATACTTTATAATTTATTATCATGAAAACGAGAGAAATTCGAGACAAAGCTTTGTGATACTGTGACAAGAAGAAAATCGAAACAATTCTCATTTTGAAATTCAAGCAATAATCACGATCAACAGGGATCAACAACCGTCTTATGCTATTGAAATAATAGATAATAGTTTGTTGGCTTGTGATGGTCAATAAATTAATAAATAACAATGTAACAATTTTATCAACGATTTTAAGGCAGAGAGAAACAAAAAGTGGAAAAAAATCGCGTCAAGGAAAAAGAAAATTCTACTTTTTGGCTATGAGTATATATAGGGTACTGTAGACATTTAATGCTCTTAATCGAGTTTTCAAAACATTTAAATGGCCTCTTTACTCATAAGAATTTTATTATATAGTCAATGCATAGAAACAATGATTAATTTTCCTAAAAAGAAAATAAATTAAATAATATAGTCGTCGCCTCTCCTAATTATAAAATTTACGATGGCAAATTTAAAGAAAAGTTCAATGATTTTTATTTTAATGTCCCTTATTTAATCAACGCCATCAAAGTTAAATTAATTCCTTTTTTTTATCGTTACACTTTTCTTCGCAGTTCACATTTTTTACAAAAGCACATAAAAATCTCACGTCGACGCATCAGCTACTACCGTATCCGAGCTACCGTAACTGATGTGTGTTCATTTCGAAGGACACATTTAATTCTCAAAAATTTTTGTCATATTGCAATTCAATGATCGTTTTGGAAGAAAATCTCAATTAGTTCTTATAGACACATAAATAAAGTCGATTAACGAGTGAATGATACTACTTTTAACATTGCACTAGGTAATTAACCATTGAAGTTTTTCACAAATCGAATTAAAAATTTCGCTCGTTTTAAAATGTTATTTTTATTTTAGTTTGTTTATTTTAGTTTGAAAAAGCCTAATGCCAAGAAATGAAATCAATGGAACTTTCATTAGGAATATAACTCAAAAAATCATATGATATGGCATTTTGTAAAAAGTGATTAGTTGAAAATTTTCAAACTAGTGAAAAGAAAAGATCAGTTGGTAGATCAGTAACATATGTAATCAAAAGAAATGAAAATTGGGAAATTGCTTTAGGTTACAAATATAGCCAAAAAATATATGGAAATAATCATAAGAATGTTGCATGCTGTAACTAATTACCATGACAGGCATGTTTTCAAGAATAATTTGTCAATTGCTGTAGGACGCTATTTTGCCCGAAAACAACTTTAATAAAACTACTTTACTTTATTTAAAAATTCAATGATGTCAGAAAGAATGAAATAAATGGCCATCAAACCACGCTGGAAAATCTGTGGCTCGAATGATTCAAACATACCGTGAGGTTTTGGAAAAGCCATGCCCTGAATTTGGTGATTGCCTCTTTGGAAAACACTTTGGGTACTTTTCTTTTGCTGTTGTTTGTACCGCTATTACCATCGCTGAGCACTGATTCCCTACCACCGTCATCGTTGAGCGAACCCATTGAAAGCGACTCATCACCTGAAGGTCGGGCACCTGTTCAGTGCTCATATCGAGCTCATTACTCCAACCAAAAGAATACTAGATATTTCCAAACATAATAATTCTAGTAGTGCACCGTAAATTATTTCGCACTTTACTATTAATAATTCTCCATTACCAAGGATTTCCTGCGCGAAACCGATCGATTTTTCAATTTAAAATGATGTTTAGCACTTAACAATGAAAAAATATCGTAATTCTTTAAAATTTTTCATTATTATCTTTGCGCTGCCATTTTCAGGACAACTAATTGGACAAAATAGAACAAAATGGGTAAGATTGAGATGGATAAACAATAATAAGCATACAAAATTTGAAGATTATTATTTAGATATATGGTGATATTAATTGAAAATTTAAATGATCAATAACAAGTCAGTCATTAAGCAAATTAGGAGATATTTAAGCGCATAAATGCAATAAAGCGAAACTAAAGAAATTAAATTAACTAAAGCAAGGTTAAATATTATAATGTGTGAATTATTGTAGACTATCAAGCACTACAAAATAAAAACCAACTTTAAGCCGTCCATCATAATTAACATAAATGGTAGATTTTAGCGATAGGACAAAAGAACTTTTGGCCAGAAAAAATCATAAGTGGAAGCGTGGAAGCAACGTAAAGCCACAAAACATACCTTTAGGTGATGAAACAACCAGGCTCGCATTATGTTTGTGGCTGGTTTCGGGAAAATGCCACGTTTTTTAGACAGAGAGTTTTTACGATCTTCAGTCATAGATATTTCATCAGATGTGGTTTGTGGTGGGTCTAAAGGATGTTGAACTCGTTGATGACCGTAGAATGACATTTCTGGACCATATGAGTTAGTAGCACCTGCAAGACAAGAAGCAAGCAAATAGCGAAGAGCCTGGTTATATTGGTTAATACATCGCAAGCATCTATATTGTTAAAGCTTGTGCCTGGATCATCAAAGATTGCAGAACAAAATAACATCCAATTATTGTTAATAGCTTTGAGATTAATTTGCAGCAAATGTAGCGTTAAGCTAATCCATTCTTCTCATTCAATCTTTCTTGCCTTTTTTGTTTTCTCTCTACATTTCCAAATAATTGTTTATTTACCGAAATTTATATAATCCTATAATCGCCAATTGCTCTTTTCCAGTGAAATCTCATCTCGCCAATTCAACAGTCCTGCTGCTATTTACCCAGATTATTTGCAAAATTTGATAATGGCGTGCTTTTTCTTGCTTTTGAGCGTAAGCTTCTGCCAACATTTATAATTTCTTGGCATTAAAAAAAAAAACTCTCGTAAAATTTTGACTTTATTGTAGTGAATTCGTTGTGTCATTATTAATTAAAATGATCGCAAATTTAAAAAAAAAGTTGATGAAAAAACTTATTCGCCAGATTCAAATTGAAACAAATCCGAAAATGAAAAATAACCAGCCAAATATGTAAAAATATTGAAAATCTCTTCTTAAAACTTTTTGTATCTATTCATGCTTCAAATGATTATTTTTGAGGCTTAGATTTTTCTAAAGATTTCAACTTCATTTCTTTATTCTAGCTAACAGCTATTTTAAAACTAATCATATTGCTTATTGGTTTATACAGTTGGACATGCAATAGTGTTTTTATGATAAAAAACTGCCATGTGCAAAAAATTCATATGTGAAAAATGCGATAAAAAGCGACAAAATAAGCTCTCATGCAAAATCTCAAATCAATGGCAAAAGCTTAGCGAAAGGAACAAAAGAAAGGATAGAATGTAGATAGAATCGAAAATTGAGAATTTCAATTTGTTCGGTTTCGTATCTTTTTAAGATGACCGATTTAAAATCGACGATATATAGATATATAAACTAAGAGCATTAGAAAGTATTTTTCTCATCATAATGTTCGCGAAATTAGAATTTCTTCCAAATATGTTCATAATTGATGCGTAATGATGAATTTCTTCAAGCTGAATAAAGATTGGCAACGAAGCATTAAACCTAATCCAGAAATTTATTTCTGTTTCTACTGTATTATTTTACGAAATTCCGAAAATTCTGCAGAAAATCCACAGTGCGAGAGAAGAAAACCTTTAATTTAGTACGGTGCACCACTAGATAAATTTTCGCAAACCTATTTATTGCTATTTATTGAATAGCAAGATAAAAAGATTGGATAAAAAAATTAAATACAGAAAAGGCAAAAGCGAGCATTTCGAAATAAAAAAACTTCTGGTGGTAAACCGACCTTTTACAAAGTATTAGGGAACACTACTTATTCAAACTAACAAAGTATTAACTGTGGATGAACAAGTGAAAATAAGGTAACTTTTTTCATTAAAAAAATATAACCTGCTTCAGAAATGTTATCAGTGTGATGAGCGTTGAGCAACTGATTAGGAGTTTCAACTGAATGAGGCGTAGAATCGAGCTGCTGCCCACCCGTTGATGAACTTAATTTTTCAAATATATATTTGCTGACCTTAGCGATTTTTCAAACTTTTTGTTTATAAATTATACAAAATGAACAACGATATTTTAAGGATTTGATATGCATTATGTGTCTCATAATTAAGACGAGGATTTAAAGTTTATAATAAAGAATTCTTAAAAATTCATCATCTTAATGTAGTGACAAATCATAAAACCTTTCTTGACTAAATCCTTTTCATTTGATTAAAAAAAGCGACTCAGCATTGTGGCAACTATTTGATGTAATTCATTTTGCAACGTCTGTTCATAAAATTTGATGGAACAAGAAAAAACAGTGGTACCTTCCCGAAGGACTACTGACGACTGTTAACGTGGCGGAAGTTTGGCTGCCCCCAGCCGTCACAGGTGGCGCCCCGCCCAAGACTAAAGGGTGGTTTTCCGGAGTTGTAGATGTATGTTGCGCCGACGACGATGCACCGGTAATGTCGTTTATTGATGGGTGAAAACACTGAAATTTAACTGATTTTAGCGGGAAAATTCATAGAAGTGCATCTCGACATCTTAAATGATTATTAATAAATGATATCTTTTCCATTTTAAATGATTTGAATGAAAGATAAAACGATGAAAAAATGAAAGATAATGGCTTGATGAACTTTTAAATTGAAAGTCTTGTGATGCTACCATTATTTCAAGGTTATTACAATAAGATATGAACAAAAAGCATGGAGAATGAGATTAATTTCTGCGCAATTAATTTATTTAGAAAATATAAGCCACCATCCGTGAAGCCGATAGATTGAGAGTAAAGCCAATTACTAAGGATGAAATATCAACGTTTTCTCTACACACCACGCCAACCATAGATATTTGTTTATCAAATGATAAATAATTATGCATGGTAGAAAAAGGAATGTAAAATAAGACGACCGATTGCTTGCGAACAGAATTGTATATCTGAATTAATTGCGATAACTGATAATTATTTGTTCCCAACTTGTCAAAAACATTTTGGTTATTACTAAAAAATATCAATAATCTGACAAAAACATATGGCACATTTGATACCATTTACCAAAAAAATTTCATATATAATATATATTGGAAATTTTAAATACATGTTTACACCAGAAGATGAACCCAATATCCAAGCGATATGAAGTGAAAATGTTTCATCAAAATTAAATTGCAATTGATAATAGAGCAACTGATAAAAAATTAATCAAAAATTTTTCATAAGACGAGAGCCAAACGAACAATTATGTATGAATGCCATTCAGTCTATCGCAAACATGACTACAACGTGAAATATTATGGTGAGCTGAACAATTAATCAAATTTAAAAAGCTCTAACAACCGAATTATGACTGTGAATTTAAGTTCAGTATCGCAAATAGAATGAGATTTTATTTGTATTGATCTTATTTATCATTGGCTTCCTGGAACTTCTAGGCATAAGTGTTGAAAAGCAACATAACTGCCAATGTTCAAGAGGCATGAACAGTGTTTCTCGCTTAAATTTTTTGGTTTGCTGTGTCTCTCTGATCTTTTGTTTGAGTGTTTTCAATTGCTACATCCATGGAATCATGCAAGTAAATGACAAATAACACTTGATATTTATTTTTATTCAGTCAGTGAGCAAAATCAGGTTTTCATTCGAAACCTTAACATTAGAAAGGCAAGCCGACCATAACAAAGCGCCCATCAAATACACTAATCAATATAGTTGTCGCACTAAAATTTCTGATTTTATTTTAAGGACTAAAAAATGAATATCGTCGAGCACAAATAAATTTTGAATCGGAACAGCGGTAAATATTTCTGGAAAATTTCATTTCAAATGAAGAAATGAAGCAATATTTAAAATATTTACAAAAGTTCTAGAGGATTTAAAAAAATGTGCTAACTTCACCAGTGATAAATAGAAACAAAAAGCTTTATGCTATTCAGCAAGATTTTCATTAAGTTCTAATGAGTAGTAATGAAGGAAGAAAGTGGACAGAAAACTAAATGATATGCATTGATGACTGTTAATGCATTATCAGATGCACAAATAATCATTCTATTACCAATTACGAAATACAATATTTCTCATTTACCTTTGCTTTTCAAGAAAAAAATTTAACTGTTTACAATCAAAACAACAGAATTCCTTTACTTCTGCCAATTCAATGAAAAAAGTGCTTAAAATAATAAATTCTTTCAATAAATTTTTAAATGCTTTAATTCAATGATTTTGTTTTACCTAAGATTGAAAACATTTCTGTGAAAAAGAGCGAAAAAAACAGTTGGGATATTTTCAAAAAAAATCTTCGATGAATTTCGATTAAAAAAAGCTCATTCTCTCGATTTTCAGAAATAATATCGCTTTCTTATAAAGCCGTAATATATGAAAGGAGCAGTGGCGCCCCGATATACCTCGTTTCCTTTATCGAACCAAGCAAAGCATTGAAATTTGCATATAATATTGCCAACCAAGGAAGCTCGTAATACGCATGACATATAATCAAACCCAGCCCGCGGGCAATTAACTAACCTATACTCTACGTAGATGTAGTTCATTATGCGTTCAATGGCCCAAATAATAACAATGATCCTTTTCTTTTCAATCCATACAAACCAATTTCATATGATACAGAATGAGTGCCATTACAGCAAAATAAAAAATGATTTCATTCATCGTTTTTTTTTGAATCGCCTAAGAAACTAAAAGATTCCACATCAAAAAGCCAAGAGAACAATTTTCAAAAAATTAATACCAGATCGTCTTTTTTTGGACGGTTGGCCTTCTAAGGCTGTTGACCTCATGGGCACAATACCTAAATGCAACTGGGAGCTGCCTTGCTGTTGCCTCAATGCATTTCTTGATGTCCTGAAATTGTAAAGAAGTTATATGATCGACGTTTTTTGTCGATCTGATCTTACATACTTGACGAACCAATTTCCCTGTTTCTGATTCATTTTGAAAGATTAGCATTTTTAAAGTTTTGGCCACTATGACTGCTGATGATTTAACCGAATTCCTTTGAGTTTATTAATTTTTTGTTGTCTTAGCTTGAACATACAGTAAGCTGCTATTTTTGCGAATTATCTATGGCAGATTAAATTGTAGAGAATTCAACGGATGAGAAAAATTTCGATGAATGCTGTGTCAGAATAAATAAGGCTCACAAATCAACCACTGTTGATCCATGAACGAAATTTCGAAATAATGAAATTTATGCAGTTCAGATTTAGAGTTTGGAACAATAATTTTCATTTATTCCTCTCTTAGAAATGAGGGCTGTTCAATTTAAAAAAGATGAGGATGCGAAATGATTAACATATGGTGCATTATGTACTCCGTTACACAAGTCAATATATTTCAGAAGGCTAAAATAATTGCATGAATTTGTAGAACTATCCTTCAAAATCCTTAGAAAGATTGGAACGAATATGCAACAAGTAATATGAGTTAGTAGAATGCGTTAAGAGATATGTAAAGAGTATGAAAGCATAACATAAGTTGTCATTAAATCCTGAACTGCTGATCCCTATTTTAATAGTGTGAAGACGATGCAGATAGATGAATGGGGTTGGCTAGTTGACTATCTGGCTAGCTAGCCAACTTCAATCAGAGCAGCTGTCTATCACGATGTCTTTTCTCGTATCTTTTAATGCACTTCGCCTTTTTTTCTATATCTTTAATCCATAGGAACATAGTATTTATCTGAACATCTCACCTATACAACTGGCAAATAGAAAGTAGCACTACACCTGTTTCTTCTAACTAACTAAAAATTGCTACCGCCATTTATTTAAAACACAACAAATGATACTTTATACTGTGAAGTTTTTGTCATAATAACATTAGATATTATAATACTGCTTTAGATAAGAAATAGATTAACGATTCTCAAAAAAGAAACCGCTGATATATATAAAATGCCCAATAAATTTGTTTGATTTAATTGATGACTCAAGTTTTAATAAAAATTGTTCGCTTAAAAATATATTTTGATCTATTATCTCGCTAATCCAGTATACCTCAATGATACTTAACCTTGATGAAATTTAAAAAGTGAAATAAGCACAAATTAAATTTATTAGAGGGAAATTGATAAAAGACTTGATAAAAGAAAAGAGTTCATTAAAGATAGTTGTCTAAACTGATTTCCAAATGGACAAAATTCGTCCATATTCATTTGATATATTTGCGAGTAAATAAATTGGTTATATTGAAGTGAAAAATGGTCGAACTAACAACTTATAAATGCTTAAAGTGATGCCGTCGTGAAAAATCTATGTACTGTTGTGAATATACTAAATTCATATATTGTTCATAATTCATAAATTCATATACTATATTCATATATTGAGAATACGAAAGGATTTCTCTCTATCCTCAACAGAAAAATAAAGCTGAAAGGTAGAACTTTTAGTTAATGATGATTCGACTTGCTACAGCAATATATATACCATGGTACTTCGCCTATTACTGCAATCATTCGATGAAATATTTTTCAGAACTTTAATTAAAGGCTCGTATAAAGTGGGAATAAGTGGTAAATGTTATCGATCTTTAAGCAAAAAGGAGGAATCGTTCAGTCTACATGGTAATACATCAAAGATTAACATTAATACGTTGATTTTTCGCGCTAAAGACAAGAAGCTTATTTTGTGAAAAGTATTGGCTCTTCGTTCAATACAGAGATTAATCAAGTCGAGGCGCTGAATGTAAAAGTAAAACCAAGAAGTGCATCATCCATCTTTTTGCCTCAACTGATTCAATAAATTCATTCAATCGAATAGAATTGAATAATTTGTTTGAAATGAAGAATTTGAAGAAGATTAATGAAAGACAATGCAAGAATATTTTAAGACTGAAATTTTTATCCACATTTAGTAATACGATCCGGATTTCCTGAGAAATAAGACATATTAACAATCAAACCAGAAAAGAAACATTTTTAACTGGATTGACATACCTCATGACCAGCAGTGATCGTGCTCGTATTTTCAGGTAAAGGAACAGTTTGTGGTTCATAAGGTTGATGATACTGTGAACTGCAATGTTTTAATAAAATTGAAAAATTTAGGCTAAAATGTCAATCGTCTACCAAATTTTGCGTTTTTTATAGAAATATTTTTCTGAATTTTGCGAGTACCACACATAAAAGTCAAAAATTTTTATGGCATGTTTTAACCAATATCCGTTTTAAAAAATGTTAAAAAAAAGCTTCTAACCTGATTGGCGTACCCATTGAGGGGCTGGATGACGGAACTGTGGTACTGGGTGACAAGGGTGGCTGTGAACTGCTTGCTCGTTCATCACCAACAATATCCATAGGCATTTTGCCTTTCAAACAAGTAACATATCGATGACAAAAATTATCACACAGTTCATGAACCTAAAATATTTGATTATATTTTTTTTCTATGGTTGAGCACTTTATCCAAACGTATTTGATTCTTACGAGCTAGATTATCTTTTCTAAACCATATAATGCCAATTGCTGATGCTCATATGTTGTCATCAAAGCTTTTCGACCATTGCTCTTGAACAAATCGAAAGAAAAAATGTTATGAATCAAAATTGAAACAAAAAGTTTGAAAAGTTTAAAATCATAGATGGCAATATATGATATCTTTTTATGCGATTATTTACTAAGTACCTAATTAATATAATGTGCAAATTGCTCCTTCATAAATTATCATATCCACTTTTCTATTTCCTAACTTTTTCTGGAAATCTTACCAAATTTGACGAATTTAAAACCGATACATTTTGAGAAAAGGCAATGACCGAGTTTCTGAACGAGAGAAGGAATGGCAATTGGTGGAAGATACTGACACAGTACATAATGTAAAATATCACTCCCAGGGGGTACACGATCGATGGTGCTGAACTTTTGCTCTTCACTTTAAAAAATGATTTGATACTTTGTGTTCATGTATCTTGCGAACGTTTTAGACTTGTGGGGGGTAGGTCGTTATTGCGCAGTGGGTGAATGCGATAAATTGAATTTATTGGAAAAAAATTTTAAAAAATTAGAACACTAAAATAAAAATAAATCATGCACCGTTTCCAAGAAAGACTTATCAAGAGCTTATCGCTAGTATGGATCTGCTATTAACTACCGTGTTCATTTGTCCAAGATATAAATATAACAACTGGAATGCAATTAAAGATTTGAAAATGGCGAATAAATAAATGATTGATGATGAAGATTGAAATGTAATAATATGAATACTTAATACCAACCTTTTCGAGCTCAAGAAGGTGGAAACGCAAAACCTGAATAGATTGGAGCATCTAAAATAATATTGCTGAATTTGAAATGAATTTTATGCCTCGAAAAACAAATATAATGTGATTTAGTAGGTTTTTATGGTTAAAAAATTTCTTTGGTTCAAAAATTTGGTTAGTAAATTAAATTTTTCATAACTTACAAGTGTATCAAGTTCCGGGTTGGGTACATAATACACTTTTTGAGTTTGTATCTGAAAAAAATGGCTATTTGACTCTTTGAAAAACTGAATAATAGATAATGAAAAACCATTCTTTATTCACCAGTTTGCAAAAGATTAAAGAATAAGGCTTCACTCAACAGAATTATAAGCATGAATTTACTGTTTTGGCGAAATCAGCGAGATCGTCCTTGAAAGAAACAGACGAGCATATATCATTAGCCGATGAACCAGTACCATCGCGGTTTTGATCACGGGGAGTACAAGTGGCCAATTCGCACTTTTCAAAAAGGCAAGTTAATAAAGGAAATAAGGGATGACTGAAAATTTCATTTCATTTATTATTTTGTAATTTTTGATTGAAGAATCAATCTCTTAAAGTGAGTTGGATTTCAATCACAAAATGTTGGGATTAAATAATTTGAAAGTGTATTATTGTCTCATTGTTGCAAATAATGAAAAAAAAGTTATAATGTTAAAAAAGTTAAAAGTTTGAATTCAACCCTTTTTAAAAAAAAAATCATTGTTTTTTTTGGATGCTTGAAGTTTCAAGAGTAAATATAACTTGCCCGTAAATTGCTTCTTTGTCCCTCTTCATTTGCTCATTTATTGGGTCCGCAAGAAGACCTGATGGAGGTCCTACAGTCGGATATGCAGCCATACCAAAGTAACCCAGTGATGATGTTGGATCAGGTGCCGCACCTTGATAAATATCAGATGCAGATGGTGGAGGACCGTATCCGTCACCGTACTAAACAAAATAATGGTGGAATAAAATTAAAAACAAGTAAGAAGTAAATATGAAGAAAAAATAAATTTTAAGCACATATTGCATCATTTAAAAATTTTGAAGACAAAAGACAGTGGTGCACTAAAATTGATGAGTAAGATTCCTTCTAAATCGTCAGGCTTTATTCTCTCAAAATAGTTAATCAAATTAAACGATTTATCAAGTACTTTGTCTAATTTTAATATATAACTTCAAAAATTCTCAATATCTCTTATTTATTTTAAAATTCTGTACTTTCCAATTCGGAAATTTTGCAAACCAAAAGTAAATATTGAAAGAAGAAAGTGAATTGATGAATAGAATACATTGATATATTTTAGCTTTCTACCAATTACTGAAACAATAACGCTTAAGATAAATAAGTTTCAATCTTTTTCCTTAAAATAATCCACATATATATGCTAACAAAAAAATGAAAGGCAATATGTAGGGTACTGATTCTTAATTTATGATTATTTAAAATTTTTAAAACATTGTGAATTGCAGTATCGATATTGCCCACAATATTCCCATCGAATGTATGTATAATTTATTGATAATTACCCTAAAGGTATTACAAATGATTAATAAATTCTGTAAAAATTAAGAAATCCAAAAATTTTGGATAATAATTATCAATTAAACCGTCAATCGTTATAAATTTTTTTAAGAAAATTATGCTATCATTTTCCAATAGCTTAATTTCTCCAAGTTTAATCTGCGATGAAATTTACTAAAATCCTCATAAAATATCTTTAATTCTCGAAAATCTTTGAATTTTTAGTTGAACTAAAGAAGTTTTCAAAAAATTCAGATGTGGAAAAATGTAAAAATAATGTAAGAGACAAATCTTCTGTCTATCTATCATCAGCAGTTTTTTAAAGAGATAAAATCTCTCAAAGAATAATCACGTAAAGTGTTGAGAAAGAAAGATCAAAAATTTTAAAGAATTTTCGCTTAGCATCACTGTTCGTTCTAGGTAAAATGAAGAGATTATCAAATTTTTTTTTCTTCGTAACAGTCGAAAAACACAACAATAAAATCGATTCTTTTATTAAGTATATTTGTCAAAATAGAAGTATTTTGTTGGAAAAATGATGTTGGCATGGAAATTTTACAATCTAATCCATTTAACAGTTTCTTACTATTTTCCATGGTGACCAACATCAGCTTTAAAGTGATAAGTCAATTTTTTTTCAATGGGAAATTTCATATCTTGGTTTTAGTCCAAAAAAAACTAAATAATGAAATTAAATTCACATATTAATAAGGAGCAGGTTCAAATAAAAAGTGGAATTCTGAACACATTTGAGGAAGAAATTTCTAAGATTATCGCACATAATCATCGGTTTTCAATAACTTGTAGTGAGTATTTAAAATTATGTTGGCGATCTGCAGGCATGATGGAAATGATATCCACTCCTGCTTATTATATTTTAGACCACCATACTCGAGTAATCTGATAAGAAAATTTGTTTCTATTTCTCTTTAGAATTTCATGACCGATACATTCGTGTTACGAAAGGGATAATTTTCACAATTTTTAAGATTTCTAAGGTATTTTGGCTTTTTTGCTTTCTAAATAAAACATTTACTTAATTTAACTTCATTCGGCAGCACGATTAGATTTTATTCAGCTTAAATTGCAGAAAAGTGTTAACTGGTTCTGCGATTCACGCCGAATAAACTGAACATTACAACAACATCGATGTTTCGATCAATAAAATGGCTTATTTTTTTGCAGAAATTATTGCAAATTGGTGCCTCTGGCAATTATCCGCTTAAATCACCATCAATGATAGATAGATGATCATATTTTACCTAAGGTTGTTTATGAGCCACAGTTGCCTATGAGCAAGAGAGATGAAAATATCATAGCTAAGACCAATCTGTCGACCCGTTCATTGACCGATATTTGCAATCAATAAATTTCGCAGTGTTTACCCCATTGATAATAAATCATCTAAATCAGTTCCTATAAATTTACAGTGATAATAAATCAGTTTGTTGGTTCGTACTTACTCTACATTTGACAAATAGAATCCATTCAGATAATATATAGAGACATGAAAATAGGGTTCGAACAATTCATTTTAGATGAGATGACTTAAAAGTAATATTTAGCCATTAATAATTTCATACTAATTCGAAAAAATTCCAATTAATAATTCAATTTTAAAGGCGATTTTATTATTTAAATATTATTCTAATTTCTATCATATAATTTTATATTACAAGTGATACATTAGGTGAAAAAAATTTGAATATTTAGGAAAAAAGAAATAATCAAAATTCAATTAAAAGCAGCAGGCGATAATGAAAAATCAAAATCAAATTTAAATTTCGATCTGTGGATATTTTAGCTATAAATAAAAGACCGAGAAATTCAAAATATAGAAGAAATGACAGACCCTTTGAGACATGGCTGATAATCGAAAAAATTTGATTTGTCGATAAGCCTTCCGCTAATTCAAAATTGCCTGAGGTGAATTTAAGTAGGAATAATTGCAATAGTAGTAGTAGCGAAAGGATAAATATTTGAACGTTGAGTACTTCTATTATACTTATTAATGAATGCTTCTAATAAAGAGTAAATATAATATTTATTTGACAGATGAGATCGCCGTCAGATGGGTCGCGATGAATTGATAGACGATCTGCCAGAAAAAAATCTTGATTAGTCTCGTTCTTGATGACAACTCGACAGCCGAAATTTGTCACAGATTTAAGTATACTTGACAATTAAATAGCTTACAAGCCAATTGATAATTGGTATTCAAATCGTTCTTTTTTGTTACATTAACTAATATCGAAATTTGCGTTGTCCCTAAGATAAACTTCTACTATTAGCAAGCCTAAATAACCTTCCCAGACTTTGCCACTATATGCTGAAAAAAGAAAAATAAATTTATCTAAGCAAATATTCGGAACAATGTAACCAAAATAACTGGCGGTAATGAAATAGAATTAGTCGACGATGGAAAAGTACTGTAGATTTTTCGGGTATTAACGCACACTTAGAATTATCAATAAAGATTGAACTGAAGATAAGTTAGCCGTATTGAGTTTATTTACCAAAAATTGGTCGTGAAAATGATTTTCATGTCCGAGGACCCGACCCTTAGGCAATAAACCAACAAGATGCCAAAATGACAAAGAATACTTTATGGGGAATCGTGAACGCTCGCATTGCCGCACGGTTTCGATAACCGCAACAACGAAGCGCGGCGGTTTTGTCATTGAGTAAAGCGTGCCTATTGTTCAACTCCACCCAATGAAATTTAATTCTTAACCAATGAATTATTGGAAGTGGAGGTGGAGACAAACGTGGCAGACCTTACGCCCATAAATATGCTACGCCTTTCTTTCAATTTGATAAACAAATGATGACGATTACGGTAGTTCTTTGATGCATCTACGATGAATGTCGACGGATTTCATTAATATTTTAGTTTCGATTTTGGAGCTGTGAAAATCGAAAATATGCTGCCATTTAAGATTAAAACAACAATTGAATTAATATTTAAAAATCGCCAAATAATTTATAATGACTGCGGGACTTTAAGAATTTTAATAGAAAGATTGAATCCATTAATCGACATTTTCTGAAATACAATTAGAGAAAAAAATTAAAGCAATAAGTCAAATTTGGCCTTATTTCAAAGTAATTTATTCCAAGTGAAAAGGTAATGTAAAAACGAATTCAATTTATAAAAATCTTTGCATTCTTAACTTTAACTTCTTAACTTACTATTTTTTATTATGAAAAGAAAATTTTTTTCATTTAATAAATAAAACTGTTTCATTATAATGGAATTATGAAAAAATTTTGGCGGCAAATTCGAGGTTAAATCAAAACGAGAATAAACCATCTCAACATTTGTGAGGAACCAGTTTCGAGGAACATTCCAATTCACACTTAACGATCGATTAAATTACTGGGTATAGTAATTTTATCAATTGTCAGCAAAATAAAAATGAATTTAGTTCAAAAACAGCCATGAGGTCATGAAATTATAATAATAAATAATTCTGAGACAATTTTGTGCAAAATCTGCTGCGAAAAAAATAGCGTTGATATTATTAAATATTTGGACGTAATTCGATCAATCATTCTTTCGAGCTATTAAGTGAGGGATCGAGCGTTCCATAAGATTACATTAAGAAATTCATTAATCTCATAAACATGAAAATATTTATCAGGTCTTAGTGAATCCATGACATTTGTCCGATTTCGGCAAATAATGCGTATCTAACCAATTCTTATCAATTTTTTATATGAAAATAAATTGGAAATTGTACTTTCTGAGAAAACATTCACTGAAATGTAATTTCTATATAAATTTACCATTATTTGCCATTTCAAAAAGGAAAAATCTATAAGATTCAGCGCTTTTTGGAAAAAGACTTAAACCCATTCATATGACTTGCTACCGATTGAAAAGAAGTACTATGTAAAATTATTGAATGACGTGAAATTTGACAAAATTGTTTCTAAAAGCCAAAGTCGATTGATTTTTTTGCCATGCAAAATTTTTTCGTGGGTTGAATGGATTCCAAGTTTTACATTTTTTGCTTACAAATAGTGCAAAATATTCTGATGACGAGCGTGTGCATTTTAATTTTGAGCTAATCGATATTGCTTTCTTTAATTCTATGCCGCCAAAAATTATCAAAATTTAATGAAGAAAATCTTGAATAATCCTATTTGTGTGACTGTACAGAATAACTATATTTAAGCATCAAATATGCTGAACGATCGAATTTACCAAAAATTTAATAAAAAGGATAAAAGCAATGATTATGGAAAAGTTGCAAAGAAGCACTAACCATCTTTTTTTCCTTATCTTCCACTTTGGAAGTATTTACGTTTCTGCTGCTACACATTGATTTGAATGGTTGTAGTGAATGAAATTCATCAGCCAAATGAGATGTTAAGTTACAGGTAACAGCTGGATTAATCATAAAATTTGCTCAAATTT